CATCTACCTTTTCTAAATCCACTTTGATAATTACAAATATGCCCTTTAGTTTCCATAAAATATGTTAGTCTCTGATTTATATTTTTTTCCATTACCTTACATAAGTGCGAAGTAAGAGAAATTGGCCTGTGATCACTTGGAATATTACCATCTTTCCCAGCTTTACGTATTGGAACTACTACAGCGTCTTTCCAGCAACTAGGTAAGTGTCCCTTTTCCCATCCCTTATTATATAACTCTAAAAGTATACTTTTTGATGATTCACTTACATTTTTTATATAGCATATCTGATCTTTACCCGGCGCTGATAACCTAGTACTTCTTAATGCACTATTTAATTCTCCTATTGTTAATGGCAAATTAAGTATATCATCTACCTCTTCATCTTCCATAATTAATTCTTTATATCTTAAAAACTTTTCCCTTTCGTCCTATCCTCCCTTCTTCGTTGACATTATCCGAACTATGGATTTTGACAAATGCTTTTATGATCATTTCCACTTTCTCCTTCTCTGTCACAGCTGTCCCTTCATTATTTATTAATGTAGGATATCTAAACTCTCTCCTAATTCCATTAATTTTCCTTATCATGCCCCATACTTTATAAATATCTGTTTCTCTTCCCACTGACTCACAAAATGATGTCCAATATTCCCTTTTTGCATTTTTTTCTTCTTCTTTGGTGTTTTATTGGCAGTTGGCAAACAAGCTTATAGGTGCATTACCGCCACCGACTGGACTGGAGTGTGGATCAAGATTTATGCAATATATATGATGGGGAAAGAGGGGAAAGGGCCATATAAAACAAACAAAACATACACTGAACAAAAATATAAAATGCAACACTTTTGTTTTTGCCTCCATTTTTCATGAGCTGAACTCAAAGATCTAAGACTTTTTCTTTGTACACAAAAGGCCTATTTCTCTCAAATATTGTTCACAAATCTGTCTAAATCTGTTTTAGTGAGCACTTCTCCTTTGCCGAGAGTTGCTGGATATTGGCAGGAACTGGAACACGCGGTCGTATATGCCGATCCAGAGAATCCCAAACATGCTCAATGGGTGACATGCCCGGTGAGTATGCTGGCCATGCAAGAACTGGGATGTTTTCAGCTTCCAGGAATTGTGTACAGATCCTTGCAACATGGGGCCGTGCATTATCATGCTGCAACATGAGGTGATGGTCGTGGATGAATGGCACAACAATGTATATATATATATATATATACATACACACACACACACACATATATTATCTATATTCTCTTACTTAATTCACATTCTTTTATAAACCTAATAATATCATCGTATATCTTGTTAACGGATTTCCCCAATAAACCTGACAAAGAAAATTCATGGTGTTTAACTTTCTTCATTGACTGAATAAGGCGACATTTCTCATTGTTGTATTTTACACATTGAAGTAGGTCATGTTCAACTGTTTCTTGTTGATTACAAAGATGTGGTAAATGCAGTGGAGAACACGAGTATGGCAAATGTGATGAGGGTGTTAAGCTGAAATGTTGTAATTGTGGAGGGGAACATAGCTCAGCGTATCGTGGCTGTGAGGTTAGTAAGAGCCAGGCTGAAGTACAAAAAATCAAGGTGGTTCAGGGAATCAGCTATGCAGAAGCAGCAAAGAAGGTTTCAGGGAATGTGAGAATGACCAGACAAAATGAAATTATGCACGAAGAAATAGGAAAATGTCAAGGATGTGATAAGCTGAAAGAAGACACTCTGATAGTGAAAAAGAATGATTTTGTACGGTTCATGGCAGAAATAATAAATTGTTCAGCACAGACGAAAAGCCGAAATGAAAGGATCAAAATAATTGTCAAATCAGCAGAGAAGTATCTAGATGTAAAAGGGTTGCCCTGGGAAACAGTTAGAGATACTCATCTAAGTGGAGGAGGTATGTATAGCCTCACATTGTAACACATGTATCCAATATATATCTTTCCAGTGACCGCTTCCTCATCAAAAGTGATAACAACGAGGTGCTATCACTTACACTTCCATTCCTATTTGTTTTTAGACGATTGACTTCACTTACATTTGTTATATTTTCTTTCACATCTTCAACCGATATGTTTACCGGGATTCCTGTGACAACCCCTTTTACGAATTTCTTGCCATCAGCCATAGAACATTCCACTCTCTTTCCATTTATCTTGTTCATTCTGATTACTT